ATCAGTTTGGTCAAGCCCCCCCACCCCCCCATCGGCCAAAGCTCGTCGGACAGCCGGAACAAAAAAAAAAAAAAAATAGGCCTAGTTTTTCCATCACAGCCACTTCCGGCCATCTAGAAGTCCCAATTTTTTTATAAATCTTGTTTTTGGAGGAGGGGACACCCCCTCCATACCCACCTCCGGCTCGGCCATTCGGCTCTCAGATAACGCTGCGCACTATAGTTACACCCATAAATACTTAGCCCCCCCCCCCAATCGGACATCTTAGCCCCACCATAAATAATATCCTAGAGCCGCAACTATAGCTATGGCTACGATAAACACAGTCAATGCAAAATTTCCGTTAGGATGTTCACCCTCTTGCTGACTACTACCGGTTCTCTTCAACTTAGCGGTGCGATCTTTCTTGTTGAGTACTACGGGAGGTTGTTTTGATCTGTAACCACGTGACTGGATATTTGCTGACGAACTGCAAGAAAATGAAAAATAAAATGGGGATAAATCCTAAAGAAAGTAAGCAATCTTTGGGATTAAATTATTACAAAAATAATGAATGTTATTGTTAGGGGTACTATTTCAGAAAAATACTCACATATATCTAATAAACAATTAAAAAGAATTAAAGTAAACTAATATTTAATCATATTCTCAGAATAATTTCTCTAGTTAACAGCATCAGTGGCAAATTCCCGGTACGATTAAAATCAAAACTGTAATGGTTTTGTCTACAGAAGTTTGTGCTTCAATCAGGTCATTCTATTTTTCACCCCTCTCCCATATTTAGACAAAGTAAAGGCCTGTTCACACTATGACAATAAAATAGTTTTTACTACTACGATTTTATCGTTTTCCCATGATTATGACATATATCATTTGATATGATTTATGAATATATGTTTCATCGTATGCATCATAAGTCGTTAAATCCTGCTCTAGTGTGAAAACATCATATTTCTTTTATTTTCTACAGTATGTGAAAATTTTTTTTTTTTCATTTTCATTTTCATTTATCTATGCTTATGGCACCTAGATGACTGGAAATGGCATGCTCAGACTTAACTTTGAATATAATTTTCTTTTTTCTTTTCCATTTTGCTTTATAGTTTTGAAAAATTAAGAGGACCCAGGACGGATGGGTCCCCCTTGAATCTGCCACTGGGAATATCAAAACGTACCAATATGAGGAAAAGTGTTTATACGTAGAAATATCACTTACGACTGTGCTTTTGATGCAGTTGACTTAGCTGCTGTGAGTAAATTAGGCTTTTCGATAGGCTTTCGTTTACGTGATGCACCCTTTTCTTGCGCATTTTTTTTAACTTTCCCTATTGATGCAGTTGACTTAGCTGCTGTGGGTAAATTAGGCGTTTCGATAGACTTTCGTTTACGTGATGCAACCTTTTCTTGCGCACTTTTTAGAACTTTCCCTATACGATTTTTAGGCATCACTCTTTGGGGTTGAGGTGTGACTGTTCTATGGAATAAACTGACCAAATTTTCTTTATTAGATCTGTCGACATCATCAATCATAACCTGTCGCTGTAAAAAAAAAAAAAAATTAAAATATTTAAAGGGTGTCCAGATAATTGTTTTCATGAAAATTAACTGATGATTATTATTAAAATACAGACTAAAAATAACAATTATTAATTAATTTAATATTTAGATGACCTCAATAATATAGGCCTATAAAATTTCAATTAATAATAAAAATTTCTGGCTTTATTACAAAAAACTGAATATTAATATTTACTGTATAAATTAGGCAGTGGCTAGGAATACGGTACTGTACGCTATCGCAGTAATGGTGAGTGTTCCTAGCTGCTGCTAACTCCAACCTTTGTCATTACCAAGATAGCGTAGGTACTGTACTGCACCTCAAGACCCATGCCTCATATTATAATGTAATACCCTTGCTGCTATTACAGTGATTTTAAGTGAAATAATAAATATTAAATATTATTCAACAGACATAAATACAGTACTGTATATTAAAATGTAAAAAATAATAGCAAAAGAGAATTAAAACTGAAATATAATTTACATCATGCTTGCATCATCTTTTAGACTTTATAAAACGGCGAAAAAAACCAAAACGGCAACACTTTTAGACCAGAACGGCATGGTCCAAAACGGCAATAAGTCAAAACGACAAGACCAAAATGGCAATGAAAGTGTACAACAATAAGTGAAAATGAGGCTAAATTGTCATAGAAGTAAAAAATGTGAAAGAACATTAATAATAATAATAATAATAATAGTATAACATACAAATGTAATAGTAAAAAAAGATGGGGGAAATCACAATATTAAAGCAGTAAAAATTTAAATAATTGAAACTTTAAAATACAGACAAAATAAGGCTAAACAATGTCTAAAAGTAAAAAAGCACGAAAGAAAAAAAAGAATAACAACATTAATAATAATAAAAATAATAATAATAATAAAAATAATAATAGAGATGATAAAACAACAATACAACATAAAAATTCAATAGTACAGTAAGAAGAAAGTGGATATATTTACGTCGCCGTAAACAAATCTGAAAAACGATATATTCACGTAAAATAGAGAGCGCATGCGCAGTCACACTTCAATAACCTGCATTATCGGTCACGTAAATTTATTGCTTTTGGCTAAATGTACGTTGGGTTCAACTTTCAGGACTTAAAATTAGCGTAAATTTTTACATGTTAAATTACATTAACTTGAACAAACATTAACTTGAACAAACATCGTATGTCTACGCCGAATTATGCAAATCCCAACACGCTGATTGGTCGACTTGGCTTTACCCTACCCTTAAAACCTAACTCTGCCTATCTTAATGCACTAAAGCATGACGTAAGATCGGCGTAGATGAAGCCACTTTTGTTTTAAACATATTTTGTTTTAGGCCTATTTTAAATCACAGGATTTTCAGTTAGTAAACAAAGAGACATACCTTTCCTGTTTTGCACACTAATCTACCAGACAATAATTCAGCTGCTCTCAGTTATTACCTGTTCTAGGCCTAGGAAAGTGTAGGCCTAATGCAGAACTAGGAAGGTAGACACCAACCAGCAGCATCGAGCATTGCTTTCGTCTCGAGGTAGCCTGTTGTTGTTGGCTGACAGTGTTTTGCGGAATGCCCAGCCAGAACAGAGAGACTGGCCTGAATAAATTTTTCAGCCACATAACATCAACAACGAAAAAAATGATACTCCTACCTGTTGTAAAATATGAATTAATGATTCTTCTGATAAGTTCTCTGGATTTAATAAATTGGATAATTCTGAGTCACTTTCTTCTGTAACGTTTGTCATCGTTGCGGCTCATCTGTAGAGAAAGCAACATATGGATCAACAAATCAGTGTGACCACTGGGAAAAATCATTCCAAAAATCCCAAGATTTAATAAAAAGTTAACAAAAAACCCCAAAACTCCAATGTGTCATAACATTCCCAAGATCTTGAAGGAAACTCATGGAGGTATTAATAACTTCATGGTAAACCCCAAGCAGTGTATTAATACCTCCATGGAAAGCCCCAAGTAGTGTATTAATACCTGCATAGTAAACCCCAAGCAGTATTCACGGTGAACAAAACAAGCAGGATATTTATGTCATAGACTTTTTTCATTCGTCTTTCTTTTCCTGCGGTGGTGCATGTTGAAAAGCAACGATTGAAAAGTAACGACTGGACGCAGGGTCCCAGAACGCCGCTTCAGCGGCGTGTGTGAAACACAACTCAGAGTCAGAAGTAGAACGTGAAATTTTGATACAGTTTCGTAGTCAGATTTGCGAGAAAAACTTCAGCTGCCTCCCAGCGGGAGCTGTAATTTGTATGGCAAGGAGATGGTGCTACCCTTAATTCGTATTAAGGGAATTTACGCCCACAAACCTTGTAGTTAATAATATTTTGGTTATAATAGAAAATTTTTATTTTTTTGTGACGTCACACTCACAATATAGTTAGCATGCATACGTCATAAGCTAGATTATATCACCATTTCCTGGCAAGGCAAACTTTCCCGGCGTGCTTTTTTCATGGATAAACAAACACCACTCCTTTGCACATGGATGCCTTGCCTAGCTAGGACTACAAGAGGCGCATTGTTAGCATTGTATAATACATCTTCAACTGAATCATTCTTAGTTATTTTATTTTTCTTATTTTAATTTATTTCTTTCGAAAGTTTACTTTCTATCACATATGATTGCACTGTCTACTTTTAGGCCTAGGCCTAGTCTTATTATGCCTCATTGTCCCCCGCTACACAGTACATCTGTAGGCTAGCCCCCCCCCCCCCCGCTACATTACAGACGTTTGCTAGGCATTTGCTAAGCAACACAACGTGATTGCATCTTCCTTCCCAGGTGTTCATGTAACATTTGCATGTTGTTAGCTAACCAGTTGTGTGTATTCCTTTGTGGAAATAAGTACCGCGGTGTACTCATTGGCTATGTTCTCACCATAGAGATATTTAATAGCTCTATGGTTCTCACACTACAGCTAACGGTTAGCAAGATCCAGATCCTGCTAACCGTTAGCGTACGTGTGATTGGTTGATGATAGAGAAACGCGCTCAACTTGCTAACCGCCGGCGATTTTTTTTTCCGTACGAAACATTTACATGAAAATCCACTCGGGCCGTCTCGGCTGAATCGACCCGAAAATCTCATTGCAGAATTCAGGAG